GTTCTAACTTTGTGTACTGGCAGGGTAGAGTAACTTAGTGAGATGTACGAATGTTTACTGATGTATACGTACTCCGTTTGTAATAACAAAATAACCATAACGCGTTGTTCATTATAAACATGGGATTATGAATTAAATTGAGAACGTCGTATAGAAAACATGCCGTAATGTACCCTGAGTGTAAAACTTAGCTGCATTCATCGTGAAGCGTACAAGCGATTTGCAAAGATTAATATAAAATATACAATTTTACGCTCACTTCTTCTGGAGGTGCAGCAGGGACATGAATAATTGGTACTGATTATTTTTTTCATGAGCAGCTTCTTAGCAAAACCAGCTTTATACTGACCCTCGTTTATAAAGCAGTCCACTGAGAAATGATTCGGCAAACATGAGAGCATTGACGTTGCTCGTGGGGAATATTCCCTTCGAAAACAAAACTCAGCCACTGTGTCTTCAGCGGTTCGGATTTAGGAACATTAAAATGACTGCTGTGTTCGTTATTACACCCAAGAACAGAACACCACAATCGCTTAGACGCCATTCTGCTCCAGCGTATCAACAATGGACAACAACGGACTATGATGGCAGATCGCTCAGGGCGGGTCTGTGTTGAAACGCTGCTGTCAATCAACACTCGTGGGAGGGGCGTCCGTTTTATTGACGTCACAAAAACGAACGGCTCAATTTGAGACAGGGGAAAACATATAAGGAGATTAAAACAAAAACACTGGATGGATTTTTATCATTATATGATGGTTGTGTACAGGCACTGCCAACACACATTACAGTACAATCAACTTGAAAAATTGCATGTAATATGTAAATAAAAGACTTAAACTATATTAAAAAAATAATAATAAATGTATGGTAAAAAAAAAATCTACATAAATTAATTAATTTATTCGCCACATAGTGAGCTGATAAAGTATAGCTGGGACTGGTTATTTCATTCTCCAAATGAAGAACAAAGCAGTATCGTATCCAAAGACCAAAAGTGCCCTCATCAAGGAAAGAACAGAATTGTGCAACTGTGATGCGAGTGTGGTTTTATCATGTCATTGATGTGAGACGTCTCATTGTATTTTAAGAGCCTGCATGGTAAGACACAGTACAAGTTCTAACACAATAACTAGGTAGTACTTAATCTATTTCTCAGACAAGCCTCATCAAAACAATATGAGTCATTATAATGGTAAAACTTTTGTTTTTAAACTCTCATCAAAAGCTCTTTTGAATCTAAACATGTATTCATATTTCCTCTAAAAAATGTGTCATGGTGTACTGAGGAGTTATCTACATCCTTCATGCCTAACATTTAATTATATTAACTATGTGTCCTGCTACGGGAAATCCGCTTGCTTAGTCACAAGAAACGTGTGTGATGCTGCTCATTTGTGAACTACAGTAAACTAGTCCCAACCTGACTTCTATCAGACATGTTTACAAGAGTTGTATATGTGTTTTTATGATCAGAGGGAATAGGTTTATGGTAAATTCCTTTATTGACTTTGATGGGCTGTCACTTGGGCCCTGCATGGGCAACCCAAATGGGGCCCATAGAAATGTGTCCATTGGCTCCACATGGGTATTTTAGCCCATAGGGGCACATGATGGGCCCAGTGGGGTCTAATAGGGGCCATTTAAAAGGGCTCACTTGGGTCACAAATGGGTGCTAATAATGGGGCCGAGGTGGGCTACACACAAAAACCATACGGGACCCACAAATGGCCCGATTATGTTATATGTTTTTTTGGGATGTCATTTTCACCATCCAGAGATGTATAAAATTCACTAATCATGTTCACGAATGAGATAATGAATACATTTTTGTATTACCTGTGCGTTTGATTGCACTATTTTCTGTAATCGTAATGAATTAGCTGCAAGGAACATGAAATGTAATGCTATATTAGTCTGTTACTAATATGTGACCATTTGTCAAATTATTTGGTGTGTTGCGCAATTTTACATGTTTAAAACAATCGTACTAAAAGTAAATTTGAACAAACCTACTGTATTTGCAATTAATGGCTAAATATTTTTGCGCCACACATACATATTGCTTTTAAATTATATATATATATCCGTAGCCGACCAATCAGAGTGCCTGTGATGACACCTGTCCAACGTCTAAAGTGGGCTCGTTGGAACTGGACTTTGCTGCTGTGGAAGAGGATTGGATGGTTCGATGAGCCCATATTCTTTTACATCACATGGACGGCCGTGTACATGTTACCTGGGAGGTGGTACCAGGATGCACTGTGGGACGACATGCCGATGGATGGAGTGTGGGCAATGTTCTATTGGGAAACCGTGAGTCCTACATTCATTTGGACTTGAATTTGAGACATGCTACCTAACTAAACATTGTTACAGACCAGGTACAATCCTTTAGGGTTGTAGCGACATCGAGATGTGCCTTAATTAGCTCAAATTATGCATAGGGAATTTTAATAATTAATCATGAATATGATTAATATATTGCATATTACAGTTAAATTATCGAAATTGAAAATAGATCGATTGTATATATGAATGATCAATCATAACGAATTATAATTCCTCATTCATATATCAATGGTCTCATTTCAGATCGATTATATGAGATAACTTTAAGGGAATCAATTGGCTATCAAACAATCGGTTTGTCCAGCAAACGGCTGTAAGATTAACCCCTCAATTAATTCAACAACGTTATCCTTTTTATAAACTCCAAGAAAACTCAATGTTCCGGCCGTGAACATTAATTTTCTCGTGTTTATAAAATGTACGTTACTGATATAGTAACAACTTGTAAAGCTTTGTAGCTATAGGATCGCATTTCATTGACTTGTAAAATATGAGCATTCAAAACAATCAAGAATATAATGGTTTTAATAAAATGAAACTACGGATACAGAATTCTACATTTAAACACGGGATACATGTATGTACAGTAAACAGTAAAACAAATGAGACAGACGAATAACAAACAGGAGTGAGAGAGAGAGATTGCGAGAGCGCAAGATTGGGAGTGAGAGAGAGAGAGAGAGAGAGTGAGAAGATGAGAGATCTTCTGGTTTGGCAAAATTCATCACAGACACAGAACCTTTTTAGACACCAAGAATCAACAGATCTTAAACCTTGAAAGAATGGTAAACGGTTACTTGCACAGGTAACGCTCTCTGGCGTGATGTGAAGAAAGCACGTGTCTGTGTCTCTGTCCTTGCGTCATGCGTTCACGTGGTCTTTCAGAGTGGGCAAAGCGCGTTAGTTTGAATGAAGGCTTAAAGGTCTTTGGTTCTCCTGGTGTTGCTGAGGAAAACCGCATCTTGCGTGCGTGTCCTTAGGAGCGGGTGCGTGCTTTCTCAGTTCTTCTGGGCGAGCGTGGTCGCTGCAGATTCGAAGAGTCTCCTTCAGGTTGAAGTTGCCGATTATGTTCATTTCACTGAAACTAAACGTAAGAAAAGTCCGAAGACGAAAATAAAGAAAGATTAAAGAAAACGGAGAAAGCTCCCCGAAGGAGCCATGGATCCTCTCACAGGAAAAGCTCTCATGTGGCATAGAAACTGCCTCGAACAGATTGTGGCGTTCGAGTTTTGAAGGAGCTAGAGGCACGCCTTCCTTGCGTGTCCTATCCAATCGTTTGGGGAGGAGGCGTGTTGTCAAACTTCTGTGTTTGCGAAAACACACGCCCTCCGGGTCATGTGCATGGAAGATAACATTTAGTAAAAATACACTTCTAAACTGGTATTGATAAAAGTATGCCTCATGTTGCACTTTGGGTCAGTGATTCGATCTTATTCGATTCCTCTGATTCCAATCATACCAAGCGCGACATTCCTAGGGCTAGTAAAATGCAGATAGATGATTTTTCGTGATTAAACGAATGTCAAACTGATTACATACCATAAAAGCTTATAGTTACATCAATTTGGTCACATGGGGATTGTAAAACACAACAAGAGAAACACTTCATACGTTTAAAGAGGTAGGCATTTAAAAGTTCATGAATGAGTGTTTTTGCGTGTGTGTGTGTAGCAGAGTTCAGTTAGAGTTTGCCGGGGTGGTGGACTCTCGCTCACTCCCCCTCCGGGGAGTTTCGTGTGTGTGCGTACTCCTCTGAGTTGATGAGTTTAATCATTTGAGTGGTGGTGATCACGTTATTACACTTATGCTCTGTGTGTGAGGTGATTACAACAGAGGAGACCCTAAGGGGTCGCGTGGTCTTTGGCCGGACTCACGAGATGTCATCTTGAGTCACATGTCCCGAGCTGGCTCGATTAGTAAGCAAAGCACTTCGTTGTTCATTCATCAGAGAAGACGCTGCATGTGCGAATGAGTCAATGATTTAATCAATTCAAAACACTGTCCCCTTTGTTTCACGAATGGAAGAGACTTTAGTAAATTAGAATCTAGTTAATTTACTCAACATACCAGAGCTGGCTGACTGTATCTGATTATCACTACAGGGTGTTCCCTGGTGGAAAGTGGCCTCTTTCCCCTGGATAATGCACCCTACCACAACTGAACACGTTGTTCAGGAAGGGTTTGAGGAAAATGATGAAGAGTTAAAGGTGTTGCCCTGGCCTCCAAGTTCCCCATATCTAAATCCATTTGAGGATCCGTGGGATATGCTGGACAACAATTTTGATCCATGGCGGCTCTTCCTCAACCTAGAGGACTCGAAGCATTTGCTGCTAACGTCTTGCTGCCAGAGACCAAAGGACACTTTCAGGGGTCTGTGAACTCCATGCCTCGGTGGGTTAGTGCTGTTTTGGCAGCACGCGGAGGACCAATAGCCTATTAGGCAGGTAATCGTAATGTTTTGGCTCATAAAGATAATTGAGCTTCATCAGATTTACCACTTTACCAGCATATGATACCAGCTAACCAACAGTATATCATGATATAATAAATAAAAAAAACTGCAAAAGAAATTATTAACGTTTTTTATTAAATTTTTATTATGCATCTTTAAACAATCAAACATTATTAAAGTCTAACAATAATCATTACATTAAATAATCAAAATGGTTAAATGAAAACCCTTCACTTATTTTTAAAATGATCATAAACTGACATTGAACATTATAAATGAAGATTATTGATTAATTTGAAGATTAATTTGAAGATTAATTTGATTGATTTTAGTAAACAGAGCCAAACTAAAACAGTGGCAGAAAATGGCCTGATGTCAACAGCGTGCAGTTAGATGTATTCTGGACGCACAACAAATCTAAAACTGTAGTCATCAGGACAGGGGTTAGGCAGGCCCATACTGCTGTTGGTTGGAATCACTGCCATGCTGTTTTTAAATTCTTGAACATGAAAGACATTGTTTTGATTTTTACAGGTGAGAATCAACCTGTTGCTGAAGCGAATGGTGTTAGCGTAACTGTTCTGATTGCCATTTGCGAGGAACCTTGCAACAGGAAAAGAATCACATGAGACACCATAGTTATAGCATTCCTGAACACTAAGAAAAACCTGGGCTTGCCACTGGACCATCTGCTCTTTGTAAAGAGCACTAGTGTGTGCAGGAGTGGAGAAGGATTGGATTCTGTTATTTTGGCCATAGTTGTAGTTGTAGTGATAGTAGGGGTAAATGTTGGTTGTGTCATTGATAAATACACTCCACTCTTTACCAGTGTAGATTCTGGGCAGATAATCATTACTCATGTTATCCATTTTATTCCTGATCTTAGAGAAAGGGAGAGCATTGAACTGAAAACCTCTGAGCAGACCAGTTAGGTACAGTTTGTCATTATTCTGATGGAGAACACTTGAGGAAAACTGCATTTCATACAATTTATCCACTGGGATCAGGAGGAAGCGGATGTGATTCAGGAGGCTGGCCTGTTGTTCTGAACTAATTTTATCACTTTTGTCTTGGATCCATCTCTCCAGAGCTTCAAGAAGTAAAGCTTCATCCTCCACAACCAGGTCTGAGCGCTGCAGCAGAGCGTCCATCATTTGAAAGGTGATGGTGCTCCACAGCGGAGAGTTTATGAGGAACTCACAGTTCCAGGAAAGATACTGAAGGACATTCTCCTGCAGAACAAGGTCACCTGTGCGGACGCCATACTCGTACATTGATACCTGTGTCCGGAAGGTGTTGTCTTCTGGAAGGAGTGAAGTGAACATCCTGCCAACATCCTCCATAAGTGTCTTCACTCCGAAGATAAATGACAGCTGATGGAGACATTGAGCCGATGTGATGGAAACATCAATTTCACGTGTGTACAAATACCTGAGCAAAAACAGATATTATTAGTTTCTATGTACTGTGTCATTAGTTCTAAAAGGGGTCATCCTCAGAAAATTGTGTCATTTGGGCCAAAAAAGAAAGAATTCATGATTTTTATTATTTTGTTGAAAAGGTTACTGCACAATTTACAAAATTGAAACAATCTGTATTATATAACGTGCTAAATAAATAAAAGTGATATGACTTGATTTGACTTAAGAGAAAGGGCCCAATTAGGTATCAGCCTCCCCACCGAATGAAGAAACAGGGGAGTAAAAATGTCATGGGGAGTACGAGAACACCAGCAAAAGCGTGTGGAACTGGGAAGTGGCTGTAGCTGGTGGCTACAATATAGCTGTGCAAAGCTTAAAAATATTGTATCTAAAGGTTTGAATACACTACACGAAAAATGTTTTAGGTTACGATTATAATCTTTGTTCTCCGAGAAGGGAACGAAAAACTTTACAAGGTTTATAAGGATGGTTCGGGATCGCCTCTGTGTGATTGTGGCTGAAGCAGGTGTGCGAACTCAGTCCATTGGCATGACGGAGCGACAAAGGCGGGGTGACGTCAGGACCAGGAAGCTATAAAGTCCACCCAGCTTTTAATAAACCGAAGCAAGTAGATCACAGGGACGCGGGCAGTATGGCAGCAAAACGCAGCATCTCGTTCACTTCTCAGGAAACAAGGGTTACAGTCGTAACCTGAGACGTTCCATTTTGTTCCGCACCATGAAGTGAAAACTCTCCACTTCAATGCATGCAGATTTCTCGTGGAGGGATATCTGGAGTGAAGTATGGTCTCAATAACCTCCGTTGAGAGCCTTGAGTCTATGAGTTGGTCCCCCTCAGAGGCAAAAGCCACAGGTTCCATAAGTCTAGGCGGGGGTGAAGAATCGTGCCTCCTGTCTGAGACAGAAGGTCGCCCCTGACCGGAATCTCCAAGGGAGAGTCGTCAAGGGGGGACACTGGGTTTGGGAACCAACCTCGGATTGGCCAGTACCGACTTATTCTGTCCTGGCGGACCCTCTGCAGAACTCCGGGAAACAGAGCAATCAGAGGAAAAGCACAAACATCCTGAGACACAAACAGATCCACTTCCGCTTGGCCATACACTCCCCATATGAGCTGCACCACCTTAGGGTTAAGTCTCTATTCCCCTGGCACAGTCCCTGTCTCGACAAGATGTCTGCTCCTAAGTTTTGGTACCCTGGAATGTATACTACTTTCAGGGAGAGCGGCGTTCCTTGGGACCACTGGAGGATCTGGCTTGCCAGTTTGCATAGCGGGCACAGAAGGTGGCAGGGTTGGCAGAATGGCCTCCTGAGGGCACTGAGAAGGAATTGGCACCATATAATGAGGTGGGAACCACTCACACTTCTCTTTACGGTCTCGGAAACGCGAGATCGAGCCACTAGATTCTTTATGGCATCTCTCAAGATCTCAGCATCTTCACTTATTACAATCCAGACTTTATTTCTTTCACACTAAAGTTCTCATTGAGAATTAACAGAGCTTTAGAAGTTGATGTTTTATTGAAAATAATAAAGTTTGATGTCATCATTTTGGTGATCAGTGTTTGCTTTAGTTGAGCTTATGACCCTTCGGTTTTTAACATTAGTTTTACTCTGACTGTTTTAACTGTGTGTCTTTAATACATATTTGTTAAGATAGGATTCCAAGAAAAAATCACATCAGATGATGCTGGTCACTTTTTAGTGATGATAGTCATCATGTGGTGGCCATGATTTATTGATACCACATGAAGTCTAATTTCTGATTAAGTCATTAAATATTAGTTGTTCATTTTGCAATGCCAATACTGCTGCAGAAAATCCTGCAGTGCTGTGATATTCTGAAAGATTTTATGAAGTCATTATACAGAAAAATCTGTTATTTTCTGTAAAATTAAGATTTTCTTTTACGGTGCATCATACACTTGGTTTATGGTTACAGAGAAAAACTGGGCATTATACACCAAATTCTTGTAATGTGTGATCCTCAGTCATTTAAAGTCATTCCAAACACAACAAACTCACATGGAACCATGCACCTCTTTGCTAGGAGATGCAGGACAAATTAAAACAATGGGTGTTATAAAATCGACTCAAAATATCAAAATATATGTTCGATCTCCTCCGATTGGATGGATTCATAGTCTGAATCTGAAATCTAAAAATCAGAGTATGATGCTAATTGTGGATGATTGTGCATGCGTGCAATATTTACAAATGATTGGAATTTACTAACATACATAACTATCAAATCGGATTTTTACGAAGCGTTTGTGAATCTGGAGAAGAGTTTTCGGATAGGTGCTTTTTACGGGGAAATTACATATAACCCAAAAAAGGTAATATATTCATGATAGTTTAATGAATGAGCCCCATTGAATGTCATTGGCCAGTGTACTTACACTGGTGTGATTTTATGCTTCAGTATTCATGGATAAAGTGGTTATCCCAATAGCGTAAGCTACTGACAAATGAATCAGCTTGCCATCAAGCAGCAAAAACTTTCGTAAATACCTTTTATTTCTAAGGTGTGGCTTATTTTTATTATATCCACAACATTAAATATTCCAGTTTATCCCATTCATTGTCTTGACACAATAGGCACCATTCCAAAGAATCACACAGAATTTCAGACTGAGAAAAAAAGCGTGGTCTTCTGAAACTTACCTGAGAAAAGTAGGGACATAAGGATGGCACGCCTGGCTGACATCCACTGTGAGGTTTCTGGACTCATTTGTTATGTTTAGTTCTGAATAAATCATGAGGATCATACTGTGTGCACAAATAGTCAACTCTGCCTCTTCACTGAGGTCTCGTACATTAATGTTGAAATCACAACCATCTCCACTGTCAAACAGAAGACCAAGATCATCAGACAAACCCAGACTGTTATCCACAGAGAACTGACGATTGCTGGTTATGTTTGCACCTGCAAAGAAAATGTATAAAACATATTAAAATGCTCCTCAAGTTCCTCAATCTGATCAAAAGCTGTAGTTAAAGCATGTAAAAAATTATCAAAATGTCTGTGGAAAAGGTTACTAATGTAAACCCCATTCCCTGAAGGAGGGAACGGGGACGATATGTGAGATGTGAACTGACAAATTGGGATCAAGGAAGCTATACCGTGGAAGAATAAACATGTGGGATCACCCGTAGGGGAATCGCAAAACATGGGCGCCTAGTCTAACACAGGGGCTGACCTTATGGGCATACACACAAGTGCTAGACCTAGTGTCAGACGCCTCCGTCACTGCTGAGGGTGCTGGAGGTACTCCATCCAGGGTTCGCCAGATAAGGGTCTACCTCGAGGGATACCTCGAGTTGTCCTAGACGCGACGCGGCACAGCGCTTCTTGTCCAGTGTGCGACCCCCCCAGTTAGGCTAACGTTACTGCACCGAGCTGAGGACAGCGACACTAGAGCCACACAGGTAGGCTACTGAGTCGCTTTCCTTAGTGCCGCAGAAAAGCGCTGAAACGGAGATGAAGGGGAACCTGTTTTTTTCTTCTTTTTTTTGTTGCTTATTTTAACTGGCCCATCCAGTTTCCACTGAGGTGAACCAGATGCCGCTGAACTTGAGAGGACACCGGGCGAACTGAATTGCATAGCCGATTCTGATGGTCCGCATGAGCCAGCAAGATGGGCTGGGAAGTGCTATCCAGGCTTCCAGACGCAGTACAAGCAGGGTCAGAGGGACTATAGACATACCCACAGTAGGGCAACGTGGTGAAGCACAGGGACCAGACCTGGAAGGCTTTACTGGCTTCACTGGCTTCCCTGGCTTCATGAGGCAGGGGGTGCACGAGAAGGCATCAGGAGAGATCAGACGAGATCCCAATTCGTCAGTTTACGTCTGACGTAACGTCGAACATTACTGACTGAAGAGTCTGAAGAGTTGTAATTTTGGTAAAATCGAGCAGATGTCTTACCAGTATCGCAGATCACTCCTGCATCCTCGTTATGTGTACAGTCAGTAACACCCCAGCCTTTGAAGCAGCATTCAGACAGTAAGCTCTCCGAGCCTCTACAGTTCATGTCATCCAGCCAGACTGGACCAGAGCCTTAAAAGTATAATTGAACAAATATAATAATATTGTTGTTATCACAATGTGTATCAATCAAATTATCTTCCTCATATTGCACCATACCTTCACCATATTGTCCTCCAGGTGTAACTGAGATTGCTCCAGGAAAACCCATCTGACGACACACCACTTGTGCTTCAGCCAGGTCCCATCCGTCATCACAAACTGTTCCCCACTGTCCATCATGGTAGACCTCCACACGACCAGATGAAGGCAGATTTCCGACAAGCCTCACTCTGCCCTCTCGCTTAGGCTTTGACTGCTCATCTGCCACAAGTAATAAATGTATATATTATATACACTGCTCGGCCAAAAATACTGATATCATTATTATGTTGATTATCATCATTATTATGATTATTATGTTTCTACCATTTTATATGTTTGGGAACAGTTCTTCTAATCCTAATTGCCCAGACAGCAACATAGTATCAACCCAGATCCGGCCCAGATCTGGGCCGTTTGGAATCCCCTTGTACCAAATGTGGGCAGACACTATGTTGCTGTCTGGGTGATGGAGTGTGTAGCTTTTCATTTCTTAAAACAACATTTAGGAAAACACCTATTTGGCACACAGTCTGTTTTATTTAGCTGACCAACTCTCAAAATATGTAGGCCGAACTGCACGACACACTGGACAGTGTGAAGAGAATGCAAAAGCTACATTGTAGTGAAGCGCAGAGCAGAATCGATTCAAGGGTAGACTATGAAATAACATTTCGAAAAAAATAAATAAAGCCAGAGGTCAATAGTAATTTTATATTTATTGCTATCTATCACCGTCAGAAATTAATTAAGCCAAATACCTAGATTTTATTTCTAATCTTATTAAATTTGTAGGTCTATGATATCTTTAAATATAAATTCTTAAAGTCAATAAAATCAGTAATAGTCAGTAATAGTTCTTGTGTTTCACTTTCCTTCAGTTATTCTACTCATTATCATCAGGTGTCTTCAATAATCGAACAGTCATCAATCATTTCATCTATTAAGTACCTAAATAACTGATTCAGTGTTACTGGTGGCTCCCATATGAACACCAGGTGGTGTTAAAAGCATCTCGCTGCAGCCTGTGGTGGACATCCAATCTGGCCCACATCCTAGTGTGACATCAGAAGACACGCCCATGTCCAAATACGGAACATTCTCATTGGCCTGTTTGTTTTCCAAACCAGTTCAGCCGAAACTCTGCCCTGTAGCCGATTCTTAAGATCATAGATGTCATGTCAATCACATTACTGAGTGCCTACACCAAACACTGATCATTGTAACATTAAGCCTAAAAAAACTTTTAATCTAGAACCTACATACTGAAACTCACCTAAAACCTACCCTACCGACATGGGTGTGGCTTCTGACATTGCACTTGGATGTGGCCGGGGTTAGATGTTCACCGCAGGATGCCCCACTTCGTTTATTTAACACCGGGGATCGATGGCTCAAATACTTTGAGTAGCATGAACATAATTCAATTGAGTGAATGTAACATTGTAAATATATTGTCAAATATTTTTTCAATACATGAAAACCAGCCATTGCTTATGTATTATTCAATATTGTAATATATCAACACAATATATTTTTCTGTATGTTTTTCAATACATTAAAACAATTTAATATATCTCTTTCCATAAGGGCAATGCCATTACCTTTGATTTCTTTGAAATGTAAAAAAAAAAAAAATCAACATTAATTGCGGATGCATAAGTCATGGTGATTCAATGCAATTTACGTTGATGCATTAACATTGTTTTAATGGTTGCTTGCTATCTAGGTATTTGTATACATATATTTATATAAATGGTTCATGAAAATGTGCTCAGAAAGCCCACATCAAACAAAACAGAGCAATTTGTAAAACGAATAAGACTATATAAAGGACAATATAGGCTGTGTAAAATCAGATTAGCAGCTTTGCATACCCAATACTTATAGGAGATAAATTCTTATCTAAACACATGCTGTTTTTGTGTAATATTTATACAGAAAATACAAAAGATTAAGGTATGAAGGTCATATTGTAATTCAAATTTAAAGTAGTGTTCAGATACTAACCAAACAGAGTCCAACGCTGTGCTGACACAGGTAGAAACAGCAAGGTCCATACAAGATACATGACCAATCGCTTGGCGGAAACTCTTTAAAACAGCAAATTAGGATGGAAAAGATTCATGAAAGTTCTAACGGAAATACTTACAAGTCCTCTTGTATCTCATCTAAATATCTACCAAATCAGGTCAAGCTTTGTGAGATAGGTATCACTTACATGTTCTACCACTGTCCAATCAAATTTGAGGACTACCTTAAATTTCATTTCACGAGAAAACTAAACCGATACGGTGTGCAGACAAAACCTGTTTGACTAGCTTTAGGTTTGCCACACACACACACAAAAATCACAACAATGCAAAGAGCAGGTTGCCTTACGGAACAAAAATATATGGAAATATACTGCAAAATATAATGCGATATATTACATAATACATTTCCATATACTGTATGGGAAACTAGTGCTTATATTTTTCAATTTACTGCAATATATGCATTGACCATATATGGTTAATATTGATGTATATACAAAATATTTAGAAATAAAGACAAAAATGTAATGTTCATAAAGTTTTATCCTTTATTGTGTACATTTATTGCACATACATGTTCCCATATTATTGTGATTGTAAAGTTATAGCTGACTTCTAGCTCCCAACATGCTGTGCTTATGACTGTTAAAGGATATCAAATGTTAAAATGAAGTGCCATTTCACGTGTATTGATCTGTATCAGCACAGTGATAGTCTCTTTGCTAAATACTTTATTGTTATATATGAAAATAACAAATATATGACCATATATTTTATAGCATATACTGCATGAGTAAAAATCAATATATTTATTCACATGCTGTACGCCATCTTGTCATATGTGCATCTATAAGTTATGAAGGGTATTACTGAATATGAAATTACATTCTGATAAGTAAATGTATTGTCACATATTTTTCAATATATGAAATCAGAAATTCCTTATGTATTATTCAATTTATTGTAATATATTTACACAATATATTATTCAGAATATTTTCTAATATACCATTGAATCCTTTAATATATTAATCATTCATATATTATGAAGTATATTTTTTTGAGTAAGGGTTCTCAAGTAATTTCTGAGCATATGTAGATAAAAAAGTTTTTTGTTCAAAAGTCTTTGTTCAAATAAACCGGACTGTTTGCTTTTTCATTGTATTCATATTCACGAGAACAATCCAGGGTGTTGGCATTCCAGTGACTTAGTGATAAGACCATGGCTTTGAACCAGACTTGAGCATGACAGCTGAAACATAGTGTTAAATTATGCTGCAGAAAAAAGAAAAGTTTGTATTTATGGTCACATATATTCTCAAATGAGACTTTTGCTCAGAGATAACTAAACAATTTTGAATCTGAAATAGAAATGAAAACAACAACAATAAATTCAACTTTAGCAATCAGTGGGGAGGAGATAGAGAGTGATGAAGAATGATAGAGGAAAAACCCTGGATGTATTAAAGACCACAGAAAGGCAGGACATTAGTTTATTAGTTTGCTCATCTGAAGCCAAGGACAGACCTCAGGACGTGCTTCTCAACACACTTTCAACTGTAGTTGAACAGGACGTTTCCCACCCTGAGGCCTCTCTCATGAAGCATTTTAAAGCTTAACACGTTACATTTTCGACTCCGAGTCTTTATTAAAACCAATAGGTTATGGGCCCAGAACTAGAACGCTACAGTGACGGTCCTGAAAGGCATATTGAAGATATTGACCGACTGTGAATAAAAATGAGCTTGGATTCCAAGACGGTGACGATTGTTTCATTAAACGGAGCAAACTATCCTACGTGGAAAGTGCAATGTCGGATGGCATTGATGAGAGACGGACTATGGGACTTGGTAAATGGTACAGAGACTGCTCCACGATCTGATCCAAGTAAGTTAGCAAGTTATATGGCTAAAAGTGATCGTGCAAGCGTCTTTGCTCTATATGATTGGAGAGCCGGAAGATCGTGTGGACAAAGTTGTTGGATCAGTTTCAGAAGAAAACTTGGGCAAATAAGCTAGCACTGAGGCGTAAACTGTACTCGTTGAAATTGGAAGACGGAGACTCGGTTCATGAGCAGATTAAGGTGTTGACCGAAACGTTTGATGCACTGTCAGTTGTGGGTGATCATATCGACGAGGAAGATTGCGTGGTGCACCTGCTAGCCAGTTTACCTGACTCGTTCAACGTGTTAGTCACGGCCAGTGGTGGACAGTAATGAAGTAAATGTAATTCGTTACTGTACTTAAGTAGTTTTTTTGGGTATCTGTACTTTACTGAAGTATTTAAATTTGGGGAGACTTTTACTTTAACTCCACTACATTTCAAAGTCAAATATCTTACTTTTTACTCTTTCAAAATCAGAGAGCAAAGAGCACCAGCTATTATTGCAGCAATTATCGGTAAATATTGACACATAATGTAGGCTACATTGCTTATTACGTTGACAATAAAATGACTTGCATATAACAGCTTTTTTTTCTTTCTGGGGAGTAGCAGAAACACTGCATTAATAAGTTTTTGTGTTTAATTTTGGAGGGAAATTGGCTGCTCCCATATACTGTATATATATATATATATGTGTGTGTGTGTGTATATATATATATTGTGACGATCGTCCTATGCACTCATCAGCGTTGCCCTGGAGAAAGACGCGAAACACCTGTGCTCGCTCATCATGGCTCGCTCGGCCACACCTGTCATCAATTCCCACACGGCCATATAAGCGACATGAGGCTGGACAATGAGGAGGAACAGGCTTCTTGAAAGCTGAGAACTAATGTGTCGTCTCTTGTTCTTTTCCAGAATTCAGCGTGTGACCGAGCTAGACCAGTTACGAGCACAGCACCGATTCACCGCACCAACGAAACCTCGAAAAGAGAATACCGCCTCACCTCAAGAAAGCCGCTCTTCACTCTGCACTCTTCAACTTGTACTCTGCACTTATTCCACTTGTAAATAAACAACTAATCTGAGCTCTCCTTGTCGTGTGATACTTCCGCCCGTCACAGTGGTGGAGAATGCGGGGTTGAAAGGAAGTTCCCGTTGACAAGCGATCTCCGGATACTCAAAGTATTCCCTTCCTGACGAACGGTACTCTTCCCACTCAACATGGAAGAGCTTCTCCGACAATTAACAGAGGTCAGCGTGCGCCAGCAACAGTTTGCGGAGCATTTGGCCACACGCCAGAACCAGGCTGACCAGGAAATCGCTGCTTTTCACACTGCCGCCAGACAGCGCGTTCCGTTACCCGACCCACGGGTTCAGGCCGCCCAGCTCCTCCCCAAAATGACCGTCCATGATGACGTCGAGGCATATTTGCAGATGTTCGAGAATACTGCTGTAACGGAAGGGTGGGATCCGGATGACTGGGCTCGCGCACTCGCCCCTCTTCTCACTGGTGAAGCCCAGCGCGCCTTCTTCAGCCTCCCCACAGCAACTGCAGAAAGGTATGAGGATGTAAAAAGGGACATTTTGGCTAGAGTGGGGTTATCTCCAGTGTGTGCAGCCCAGTGCTTCCATGATTGGTCATATCAGCCCCGGCGCCCCGCAAGTACTCAAGCAGCCGAACTGTCTCGTATAGCGCAACATTGGCTGATGGATGGAGAGCCCACCCCTGCCCAGGTAGTGGAACGCGTGGTCATTGACCGCCTCCTTCGGGCCTTACCCCGCTCCTACCGCCAGGCTGTGGGTATGCGAAACCCTACAACTTCATCAGAGCTAGTGGAGGCGATTGAACTAGCGGAGGCGGCCCACCGTCGTGAGGCTGGGGAGCGAGTACCACCTTTTCTCCGGAGGACGGCTCCAGAACAGCGCCCACAGGAGGGCGCTTCACGACCAATAAGCAGAACGGTGGCCCCTGAGCCACAAGATGAGTCCATGCCAACAGCGCCCTCTTCCCCCAAAATTCGGGCTTGGTTGGCAGGGCTCGAGCTCCCCAGGGGAGCCCCAGAGACCGAGATCAAGATCAACAACCGGCCATTCAAAGCGGTCCTCGACTCGGGCAGCGCCGTCAGCCTCGTCAGGGCGGATATTCTTCCTCCACACAGCGAGACCAAGACGCTATTGCCTATCACCTGCGTGCACGGAGACACATGACAGGTGCCTGCTCTGCTATCTCCGCGGCTTCGGGGTCCTGGCCCATAGAAGTTGGGCTCATTAAAGATCTGCCCGTGTCTGTGCTGCTGGGCCGAGACTGGCCGGGCTTCGAAACCCTGCTCAGCGATGCCACACGACCTGTCCAACCCAGTAGGGGTCGCCGTGGGCGGCGACAAGCAAGCAATCCCCGCTGACGCCCCGTTCTCTTGGCCTCCGACAGTGGGAGAGATGGTGAGTCCCCTTCCCTTTCTTCTAATCTCTTCTATGATGTTTACCAACAGGTCTCGGGGGGCGGCTCTTTTGGCCGCGCTCAGCGGGAGGACGAGCGTTTGAAACACTGCTGTACACAGGTCTGTGTGATGAATGGAGAAGACACCCGGCCAAAACCCCATCCTTGCCCCCACTTTGCCATAGAAAACGGCCTACTCTATTGTGTCGCTCAGCGGAGGGGGGAGGAAAAAAAACTGTTAGTGGTGCCGCGCTCGAAGACAGAGACGGTCAGAAGACCCACCAATTGGCAGGACACCTCGGCGCAGCTAATACCATCCAACGCATACGAGACCGGTTCCACTGGCCCGGCCTGGAGGCCGAAGTGAAGCAGTTCTGTCAAGCCTGTCCGGCCTGCCAGAAGACGTCACCTAAACCACCACCCCCCACACCACTCATACCGCTGCCCATAATTGAAGTGCCCTTCGAGCGTATCGGGATGGATCTGGTAGGGCCGTTACCAAAGTCAGCCCGGGGACACGAACACATCCTCGTCGTGGTCGACTACGCCACCCGCTACCCCGAAGCAATTCCCCTCCGGAAAGCCACTGCTCAGAATATCGCCCACGAGCTCTTCCTACTGTTTAGCCGAGTTGGTATACCGGTGGAGATCTTGACCGATCAGGGAACACCGTTCATGTCCCGGCTAATGGCCGATCTCTGCCGCTTACTCCAAGTGAAGCAGTTGCGGACGACCGTGTACCATCCTCAGACGGACGGACTCGTCGAACGTTTCAATCAGACCCTCAAACAAATGCTGTGACGGATGGCAGCCGAAGATAAACGGGACTGGGACCAG